CTTCAGAGAAATGTCTGTTCAGATCCTCTGCCCTCAATTTTTTAATTGAGTTATTTGCTTTTTGGGTGTTGAGGCATACATTTTGGATGTTAACCCCTTGTCGGATATGTTGTTTATAAATATATTCTCCCATACCGTAGGACAACTTTTTGTTCTACAGATGGTGTCCTTTGCTGTACAAAAGCTTTATAGTTTGGTGTAGTCCCATTTGTTCATTTCTTTTTTTGTTTCCCTTGCTCGAGGAGATGTGTTCAGGAAAAAGCTGCCCATGTTTATATTCAACAGATTTTTTGCCTATGTTTTCTTCTAAGTTTTATGGTTTAATGACTTACATTCAGGTCTTTTATCCATTTCGAGTTTACTTTTGTGTATGGAGTTAGACAGTAATCCAACTTCATTCTCTTATATGTAGCTGTCCAGTTTCGCCAACAACTGGTGTTGAAGAGGCTGTCATTTCTCCACTGTATATCCATAACTCTTTTATCATATATTAATTGACCATATATGTGTGGGTTTATAAGTGGACTATCTATTCTTTTCCATTGATCTACAGTTCTGTTCTTGTGCCAGTACCAAATCGTCTTGATTACTGTGGCTTTGTAGTAGAACTTGAAGTTGGGGAGCATAATCCCCCAAATCAATTCTTCCTATCCACGAGCACAGGGTGTGTTTCCATTTATTGGTGTCTTTAATTTCTCTCATGAGTGTCCTTTAATTTTCAGTGTATAGGCCTTTCACCTCCTTGGTTAGGTTTATTCCTAGGTATTTTATTCTTTTACTCATATTTTACATCAGCCTTATCTTTCAGATTGGGGCTATGAACCAAGTCAAGAGGATGTTTAAAGCACGTGTACAAAGCACCTTTCTTCAGTCTGTGGTGCGTGATGTCTGTTGGAGCTTGTTGAAGTCCCGTGTATATCACTTAGACTTCCCAGTTCCATGTTCTCTAGGCAGTACTTCACTATGAGTATCCATATTCCTGTGGCTGGGGCCTTTCCTGAACCTACAGAAGGCTGCTGCTCTGTCCATGTGTGTACAGGTGCAGCATGCCAAAAGTACCATGGAATGAACACCCCTCACTCAAACACCTCTGAACCAACACTTTGGGCAGTTGTTTAAATGCTTAGGTCTTTCGGCACTTCAGAGGGATGATTGAGAAGGATGTGTTTTACACAGGACTGAGCTCCAAATGCCCATTGTGGTGGCTGGTGTAGGAGTTTAGAGCATGCCAGTCCCTAAGCTGCCACTCTGACACATTATTTTGAGTTAAGGGCACTAAAAAACAGCAGGTGGAAGAGCACTCTGAACCTTCCTTTTTCTTCCTAAAAGCAGGAGATAAAACTCACCTGTAAAAGATGCTCTCCCTGTACAAGAAGGAAGGAAAGATATTCTTATCACCAGAGGTAGGGAGTCAAGGCCAAGGGAAATCTGTTTAAAGAAACCTAGTTAAATTACCATTACCTTTTCAAAGACTGTCCTAGCCCAAATCCCTCTGTCTCATCATGTTTTCATATTTACTATTCTTTGTCCAACCTAGTACATAAGCATTCTGCTCTAACTCTTTCTCTGGGTCTTCAGATTTCTTGGGAAGGTGCCCCTGTACATAGAAAAATTGCTAAATAAAATTTGTCTACTTTTCTTCTGTTACTCTGTCTTGTCAGTTTAATTCTTGGGCCTAGCTGAAGACCTAGAGGGCAGAGGAGAAATTTGACCTCTCCAGTAATGGCTTAGTAACATACTCTTTATAGGCTGTTTCCACATTCCTTTATCCCATCACCATTCTACACCAATGTTCTCTGCATCTCCCAAAAAACTACTTGGGCTCAGGATAAAAAAAGACATCTAATAGACAATACTGTAAGAAGGAAAAAATGATGATAGAATAAACACTTGACAGACATACTATTGATCATGCTCTTGCTACCTCTGGACTTCCTACTAATAATAAGAGCTTTTGCAGTTTGGAAGTGTAACAGTTAAGTAAAGAGCAGAGTAAAGAAAAGATTAATTCTACACTCCAGACAGACAGCTGTTCTACGCCTTTGGGACAGCTATGTTGCCTGGGGCTCTTTTGGTTGCAATTCATAGAAGCCAAGAGTGCTGGCTTACGTGCAAAGCCTGTGGGCCTTAAGATCAGAACCAGTGGTTGAGATATAAAAGAAAACTGAGGAAGTCTCTGCCTCCATATTCTTCCCATGTATCTGCCTCATCTTTCTTCTCTTCCCCAGTCCATGTGGTGACTACCAGCACTTCTCAAGATTACAAAGTATTGTGTCCAGAAAGAAACAGACACTGATTTTCTTTTTCTCTCTCTCCTGCTCTTTTACTCTCTTTCTTTTTCTCCCATCAGAGTCTCCCAAAAATTTCCAGGAAAATAACTGTTCCTGCATGGGTCAAGCACCTCAGGACCAATGGGTTGTGGAAGGAAGGCAACATCACATGGTAGAGAAATGGTGGTACTCTGCAATCCAACAGAATGCAAGTAAGGGACGCCCCCAGAAAATGGGTCCCAACCCACATGGCAATTATTATGTGGACACTGGCAAAGAACCCAACAGAATCACCCAGACGATTCATGGATCTACTTGAGAAACTGGTGAAAACACTGGACCTTTTACACAGCAATATGTACATACTCACATATACCAACCTGTGCACAAAATTTGAGGGTGTTCATGAAACCTCTGTAATCCACTCTTAGATCCTATTTTTAAAACTCTCTGTATTGATCTAAATTTTTCAAATTTTTTAACTTTTTAAATCACTGATATATAAAATTTTTCAAATTTTAAATACTGAACATATAATTACATTCAAAGGTTTTTCAACCACAACAAATATACACAATAAGATGTTAAGTCTTTCAAGAGACAGTAACATATAAGAAGTCTATTTATAACAGCATGAACCAGGAAGAAAGGGACTGACAATCAGATATCAGCTGGTGCCAGTTGTCTCATTAAATGGAAACAAACTGGAAGTCTCTCACTTTTTTTTTTTTTTTTTACTTTAGGTAGAGTGCCTTTGCATAGTACGTTTCCAAACATGATCAAACATTTGGGAAATGTATTCTTACCCTCTAACCCATTCAAATTATAACATTTGAAATTATCTCATAAAGAGATATATATAAAGTGAATCAAATAATTGGTAAGATCTAGACCACTGCTACTCATGACAGCCTAAAGAGAAAAAAAATCTATACATCGCTCAATCAAAACTTCTATTCAAAATACATATCTATTAATGTATATAATTTTACTCAAAAACCAGCAAAACCAAACAAAGACAGTAGAAATAAGCTAGGGAAATAAAAACAGAAGTGTCTTCAAATCTACTATGCAACAGGTTTGATATAAATTAAAAATTATATGAAGGTGGTCAGGAAATCAATACCCTTCTCTGGTTATTAGGAAGCAGTCAATGATATTATAGTATCCTTAACCTCTGAGAGTACATAATGGAAGGAAATGGCCACATTCTACCACAAAATATTTTTATATTACAGGAAAAGACAGGATGATAGAATACAAAGAACAATGGTTTAACAGAGAATTGTACTTTTCATATGTTCTTTAAATATATATAAAAAGGAGTTTGACTATAGTATTATATCCAAGTATTTTGATTCTATAATACATCTTGAATAAGTTTCATGTATAAAAATAATATGAAACTTAAAAGTATTACCTTTGCTGATACATTTTCTAGGCAATCTCTGAGAGAGAATCTAATTTTCTGAGATTCTGAATATATGCGATAAAAGCTAGGATGATGAAACACTACTGACCCTGATTCCATACAATAAACTCTAAAATAAATATTTTATTCCCACACTGTATTGAAAATTTTTATGCTAACTATAGTTAGAAAAAGTAAGACACAAATTACATGGGGTAAAAAATTATTTTCTAAGCAGAGTCAACTGCTGTACTAGTATCATTTTTGTAAACAATATCAAATATTAAGGCCAGCACATAACATCTAAAAATTAGTGTTATTATGTTTTATTTAGAAATTTCTATTCTTGAAAAACTCAGGAGAAAGTACTTTTTAAATCACAAAGAAAAATATAGACTTTTTCATTAATGGATTTAACATGAATTGTTTTCAATGTTCTCATACAGGCCCGAAGTTCCATGACAGGTAGGAATTTGTAATTTTGGTTGAGTTCCACATTGCACTTGGGTACACTAAAAGACTGGTTAGTATTCCTAAAGAGTTCCTAAATAGAAATAACTTCAGCCAATTTGAAAACTGTATTTTTCTATGCTCACTCTTGAAGGGAGAGTTAACTTTTATATAATAACTAAGCACAAGTTTTTGTATTTCTCTACATCATACTTTACCTTTACTTAAAGTACAGGAATAACATATGAAGGAATTTGCATATGTGTGGATTCACAAAGGAAGTTCTTCAGATGTCTTCGTAAGAAAGTCAATAGGTTTAATGGTAGCTCAGCATGCAGAATTTTGGTATTGTACGGAAGTACATCATAATCTACCGGTCTGTTTACTAGGCAGAACTGACAATTAGTTATAGGATTCAAATTCCACTGAATTCTAGTATGACTTATTAAACAAAGTTAATATACATCAATTACCTCATTGGAGAATGAGAGAAAACACCATTATGTATCTGCCTTTTAGATACTAAAATGATTAAATCACACAAAGTTCATCTAAATTTTCTTATCTGAAAGTCAGAACTGAAGTAGCTTTTTATAGTTCACCAATGCAGTGATTTGATGGCACATTGCTTGCAGTGCATAGTTGTAGTAACTGTAGCTCAAAAACATAAATGCCACCTTCTTATGTCTGCATCAGGGAAGGCTCTTAAATCACATTTCATCCACATTCCTTAGTTTCATTTTCAAACAAATGGACAAATACTTTACAAATATATCCAAAGCCACTACCTAGTCACACGGGGAGAAATATGAATAAAAATACACTCGTAATAGACAAGAAACTATTGTGTGCTAACAGACAATGATTACCTGGAGGTAGGAATTGCAGCTGGTTATTAGCTAATCGGAGATGACGTAAAGCTCTCAGATGACCAATTTCAGGGCAAACAATTTCTAAGGCATTGTCACTAAGATCCAAAAACTGGAGTTTTACAAGGGACCCAATAGCTTCAAAGAGAAAAGGGTAAAGGCAACATTAATTTGACCCAACTGTTACGCCAAATCTTTAATGTAATTAACTACAAGTTAAAATATTTTAATCCTTATTATCCCTACCTCAATACTCACAAAATAGTAAAAGCACAGATCAAATTAAATTTTATATTAATGACAAGACTTTTACTTTGATATAAAATATAGCAACTTAAAAAAAAACACAAATAAAAATGTTAAAACAATGTAAAAAATTGCTTGAATAAAAATATCATGAAACAATATATAAGGTCTTTTTTATCTAATCAAAATTCATAACTGGATTTATTAAACTTAAATTTTATCATTTTATTATTTATCTAGCAACAATTTAATAACAATTGGTCTTACCACTATACCCATTTTAGACTTACTTATTTAATCATAATTGTTAACTGAACTTGCTAATTAGAGGTAAGAAAAGGCTTTGAAACTAACAAATTAAAGATGCTTTATAATTAAAATTCCCTCATATACCAGCTAAAATGGGTTTAAAGAGCAATCCTGTTCTACTAGTATAAAACAAATCTTAAACTATAATACCCTATATGGGTAAAACTGAAACACTTCCAGAACCTCTCCCCTGGCCTTAGTGTATTCTCCATATCAATAGGTGTTTCCAAGGGGTGGAAAGAAGTAGTCCATCTCTATAGCAATAGGTGATTACAAGGGGCAGTGAGGGCATATCTGGACCTGAGAGGTTCAGTGGGGCCCCTTTTTCCAAAGAGGAGTTGTGACAGACAGGGGAGAGAAGTGGATGGCTGCTTATAGGCTGTAACCAGGTTTCTCCTACTTTGTTTCTCCTACTTTGTTTCTCCCTTTGACTGATTGGGCTTCAAAGGTAATTTGCTCCGGGCTGAAAACGTATTTTCCCCTCAAAATTACAGCTATAACTAAAAGTTGGAAGTGTACCTACCTTCTGGAATCACAACTATGTTGTTTGAATGAAGGTACCTGGGGGGAAAGAAAAAAAACAGCTGTGATCATTCAGTACTTCTGCTAGATACCACTTTCTAAAATGCCCACTTAGAAATTTATCAAATATAAAGGGAATGAAACTTTCTTTCACACCCTAAACACAAAACAAAATATATGGTCATCACAGATACATAACAATATTTGAGAATAATATTTCATGCTGGAATTGCAAATATTAGAACTATTTGCCAATTTAGTTGCTGTTTTAATAAGAGCATGCACAATAGATTATGAAGTATTTTTTTACCTCACAAGACATATTACTAGTTATCTAGTTCATTTTAAAGTGTTCAGATTTTCATAAAAACACATGTTTGTAAAGAAAAATCAACTCTTATGGTGTACAGGAAAATGCAATTTTTGGTTTCTAAAGGATAACATCACAAAATAATCAGATATCTCCAGTCAGCATGCTTACTGAGAACCAAGAATGGAGAGATTAAACAGCAATCATTTATGGAATCTGTGGAAATACTCAGCTGTCAAGGTACAGAGCCAAGGGAATTCATAAACAAGAAATAAAATTCTTTTCTTAAAAAAAAAGGTTACCCTGCTGACAAGTCCAGGCAAGCCTAAATAAATAACACTTTTCCTACTGAAGTGTCTTTAGCACACTCTGGTGGAAGCTTCATGTAATCAGCAGCAGCCCACTAAAGAGCACAACAGTAGTGACTCTGGAGATCATACAGCAATAATTTCTTTAAATAAATTTATATTATTGACTTTGAGACAAGAGAATTAGAGTCTGGTATTTTCAAACCTACCGCTTTATTTATTATACTTCAGAAATCAATCTTCATAAAGTATTCTTTAAGTAGAATTTTGAAATGTTCTTCTATATTTTTTAAGCCCAATATCAAAAGTTAAAATGTCCAAAGGACACCATCAGTAGAACAAAAAGGCATCCCACAGTATGTGAGAATATAGTCATAAATGACAGATCTGATAAGGGGTTGACATACAAAATATATAGAGCTCACACACCTCAACAAACAAAAAGCAAATAATCCAATTAAAAAATGGGCAGAGGATCTGAACAGACACTTCTCCAAAGTCAGATGGCCAACAGGCACATGAAAAGATGCTCCACATCAATAAGCATCAGAGAAATGCAAATTAAAACCACAATGAGATATCATCTCACACCAGTTAGGTGGCCACCATCCAAAAGACAAACCACAACAAATGTTGGCGAGAATGTGGAGAAAGGGGAACCCTCCTACACTGCTGATGGGAATATAAATTAGTTCAACCATTGTGGAAAGCAGTATGGAGGTTCCTCAAAAAAACTCAAAATAGAAATACCATTTGACCCAGGAA